ACATCTAAAAAAAAAAAAAATATATATATATATATATATAAAGCTGGGGCTGGCAGGTGGCATGGTGGTTAAGGCACTCAGTACCCACATGGCCAGCCGTGATTCCTGGTGCATTGCTTTCTCACTTTCCCTTTCTCTCTCTGTCTCTCTGTCTCTTTCTGGTCAACCTAAAAAATAAATAACGATAACAAATAAATTAAATAAATAAAGCTGTACTTTTCTGGTATTAAATATATTTTTCCTAATGTACTGAAACAAACTAAATTTAGACTATCAACTGAATGAGTACAAATTTGAGCAGAGCACTAACTGAACACTAATTGAATTGTTTCTTTTAAAATCCAAAGACCAAACTAAGTGGTGGCATGATGGTTAAGGCAGTTTGATCCCACAGGCCAACTGTATGGTTCAAGTCTCAGACCCTGTAACTTGAAAAAACATGCTGGGTGCTTGTGCATGCATGCCCAAAATTCCAAGAGGAACATGGAGAAAGGATTGCAGCATGCAACGGGCACACAGTGCCCTGTAGCAAGAATTTAAGAGGAAAAAAAATCCAAAAACTAATCTTGAAACATCTGGGTCTCTTGAAAATCATTTTTATTTAAATTTTCATACAATTCAATAGCTGTTATTTAAATGTTGCTATCATTCTAACCTTAAGAGTTATCTTTAAATTGATTTATAATTGTATGATCAGCAGAACCAGTTTACATATACATCTTCATTCTGAAATGACTTACCAATGTTGAACATATAAATATGGCTATTGTTTTATTAAAAATTATTAATTCAATTTTATTTCTTATTTTTATTTTAATTTGCTATAGGTACATGCACTCACTAGAGAGAGAGAGAGACAGAGAGGGTGATGGTTGAGAAATCGAACAACCAGATCCAGGGCTTGAATTGTGGTCAGCCATGTGAGAGTCCAGCACCTTAACCACCATGACACCTGCTGGCCTAGATATAAGCTATTCTTACTCTCTCTACTTTCTCCCTTTTGGTCTCTTTGTCTCTTCCTATCCTTTCCTGATGATTGATTGGGTGTGGGCATTACTGAAGCAAAGTCGTGAGTCAGAATCACTCAATATTCCTTCTTCCCAAGGTTGCCTTGTTTCCTTATTACAATCTATTCACTCCCATAACTGTACCATCACCCAGGTCAACACATTTTTTTTCAGACCTGGACAAACTATTCTGTCCATGGTGTGGACTTTAACAAAGAAATGTGACACATTCATCTAATTCTATGTGAGAGTGTAAAGTGAGTTGTAGAACAGGACTGTCCATTCACAATGAACAGTCGAGGCATCTCCCTTGCCCCAGGCTCAGTGTCCTGCTTTAAGGCTAAAGTAAAGGACACCAAGGTTCACCAATTTTTATCTGGTTGATTTCTACCATAAAACATCAATGCCTTCTTTCTGATCTTCTAGGAACCAAAGAGGTTGTTGTCCATGTGGATGATGATGGAGTCATCTCGTTGAATTTCGAATGTGATCAGATGTCTCCGCAGTCAGAGTTCACCTGGTCCAAAGACTACGTATCCACTGAGGACTCCCCACGAGTAGAAGTCGAAAGCAAAGGCAACAAGTAAGGACTGTTTCCAGTGAAATATGGGTTTTCTTTTCACTCTAGAGCATAAAGTACTCTCTTTGCTTTGTACTTAAACTACTTGGAATAAATGGATGAAATCACAAATATTTTATACCCAGTATTATAAAAACTCATAACCAATATAAACCTTAAAAATAGGAATCCTCACAAAACACTTTTCAAAAATTTTGCAGTAAAACATATTTGGTCAAAGAAGAGACAATCAAACTCATTTTTCTTCCAGTTTGTGCACATAATATTTAAATGTTTGGCTGATTTTAGACACTTACTAGTGCTAACTCACTAACGTTAGAAAGCACGGTGTACTAGACCATTGATCTATTTCCTTATTTTTTTCTCACAATTTAACCCTTATTTTTTGTGCTACTGCAACAATTTGTAGAGCTGATTTTTTTGTCAGGAAAATGAAAGAGAACCTACAAACCAGTGCTGATCGAGAAGTAGTTTTCCTGCCTCTTTTTTAAAATTTATTTTTTATGTTTTCTGTATATTTTACTTCTTCCCCCTCTTCCCCTTTCTATATATTTTACTTCCTTCCCTCCCTCTTACCCTCCACTATTTCTTAATTCATGCTCCACATTATATGCAAGGCAAGATACTGGGTGCTGGGAGATATAATAGTGAAATGCAGATCCTGTTCCTGAAGATACAGCAATTATGCAGCAGGGAGAAAGGGTCTGAACATCAAATACATTATATAGTTTAGGGAAAGGGAATGCAGGGGCTGACGCAGGAGCACCCAGAGTAACCAGCAGCCGGTTCTGCCCTGTGGGGGAGAAGCCCAGGATTCCCAGCTAGGGCTGACCAGCTTAGTATCTTTATGCAGGGTGTGTGTTAATATGCAGTGTAGTTTGGGGTGAGAGATTGGTATTAGACTGTCCTCTCCATCACTGTCAACCCCTAGGACAAGGGCAGGAAATTCTTCCCAGGGAAAATGTCCCGAGACATTAAGAATGAGCAAGCTTTAGAGGGAGAGGACAAGTCTTCCAAATAAAGGCAGTAGCACATGCATTTGCCTAGGGACAAGGCAAAACGCAGGCTTGCACAGCCTCATTTCTAAGAAAATGTCTTCTTCTGAAGGACGAAAATGACTTTCAAAGACCTTGGGACGGATGACTTGGGCATTTATTCTTGTGATGTAACAGACACTGATGGAATAGCATCAAGCTACGTAATAGACGAGGAAGGTCAGTTTAAAATCAGTTCATTCGTAAGTCTAAATGTTTCCTTAACTTCTCAATTATTCACAGTAATTCTTACAGGACTTCAGTTTTAGTACTTTAATGTTTAATTGTTTTGTTTTGTTTTGTTTTTCCTCTACAGAATTGAAACGCTTACTAGCTCTCAGCCAGGAACACAAGTTCCCAAGTAAGTGTCTACAATACATTCACAGATAGTAGCTGTCTCATTAGGGGGCAGCATCTAGAATTGGTCAGATGACAGCATGACTGGACAAACGTATGGACAGAGCCTTATCATTTGTCATGCAGTGAGCCAGTTTCTGAGACAAGAGTTTGTTTAGAGGAAGGCTTTATTATGGGAGATATCAACCAGGACAGCAGTAGAGTCCGAGACACTCAAAGTACCAGATTCAAGATTGAGGGGCAAGTAGGACTTTTAAACATTTGTAAGTCAGGAATGTGGCAACATGAGGGTCTGGAAGCAGGAATCCAAGAACTTTCCTGGATAATTTTTATGATGTCATCTTTACCAGATGGTGCTGTTTTCTTGGTGCTGGGCAGTCCTGAGGAGGGTTCAGAGCTAGATGTTATCATCAAGTCCATTTTGGGTAAAGAGCTCAAGACAAAAAACCCTTAGGACAACTGGATCTCTTCAGTCTTTGGATTCTACTTGTGGCTCTGTCTTGCGAAAGTTGGACAATTAAGCCTCTCATAAAGCAGTTACTACCAGACATTACCCATAGTGTGCAGGTAACATGGATTAGTCAGGAGGGAGAGAGCATGAACTCAGCTTATTATGTAAATTACCTAGGATGCTGGGCATGTTTCTTTTCCTTTACTGATAATTACTGTATTTAAGATGAAACAAGGAAAAATTTTTGCTTCTCAGTGGCCTGCTATGTGGTTGGATTAAGAAAAGAGGCTCTCAGGCCAGCTGGTAGTATACAGGTTAAGGCAATGGATTCCACATGGCCAACCATGAGGTTCCAGTCCCAGACCCAGGGGCTTGAAAATCATTCCAGGTGTGCATGCATGCGTGCCCCAAATCCTAAGGAGACTGAAGGAGAAGGGATTATGGCATGGCCATCCCCTCTGGGGGGGTAATTTCTTGTTCTCTCTCTTTCTCTCTCTCTCTCTCTCACACACACACACATGCACCCTTTAAGGCAAAAAAAGAAGAAGAAGAAGTGAAAGAAAACAAGGCTCCTGAGAACAAAGAAGAGTCTTGAAAAAGTTTGTAGAAAATGTGTATTAGGAAAAACTATACATACATTCTATTTTTTGGTACCAAAATAAACTCATACTTTAATTTCACTTTCCAATGAACTTTCTGAAGTCCCTTTGTATTGTGGAACACCTACCAGTAGTTATATGCACTTTCAAGAATGGTGATTTTTTTCCCTTTCCCACCATTCTCTCTGGTGATACCAAGTATGCTAACATAGAAAATGTATGCCATGATTTACTACATGGAGAAGTACCAGACTTTGTAGGTATAACATCTGAGTAACTCAGTTCCTTACTTTTTGCCTATATATTTAAAAATGTATATATGTGTGCCCATTTATACGTCTTTATATCAACAAATCGCTTCATAGGTAATGTTGGCACTTGATAGAAGAATTGTACCTCTAAAAACAGACAATCTAAAGATAGTACTTACCATTTTAAACTCCTGAGAAATAGCGTAAAGACACCTTGGTCAGGAAAAGAAATCCTCTGAACTATCACCAAGCCCTTCAGTTAAGCACCTTCTCCTTAAAAGATTAAATTCCACAGCTGGCATCTAAGAAAAGAGAAAGAAGTCTGAAATGACACTCGGAAGTTTCCACTGCCTGATAAGATTGCTGCTGTTAGCATATCTCTTGACCAAAGTAGTGAAGCATCTAGATAGTTACACCCTAGAGTTAGAAAAAAACACAAAGAACATGATAAAATACTTTTAAGTCATTCTTTTAAGTCAGGAATTTTGAAAGAATTTCTTAATACTTAAAACTCCTTCTCTACTACAGGAATTTTTAGAATCCAGAAAGCTATATGTCAATCCCAGGCAGGATAAGATTGTGGGCAAAACCTTGTATATTGCTATATTGGTGCGTATTTTTCTTTCTTTTTTTTTTTTATTCTTTTTAAAATTTTTTTAAATTTAGCCATTCATTTATTTTAATTTGACCAGAGCAAGACAGACAGAGAGAGAGAGAGAGAGAGAAAGTGGGAAAGCAAGCCACCAGGACCAGGACTTGAACCGTGGTTGGCTATGTGGGAGTGTTCAGCACCTTAACCACCACGCCACCTGCTGGTCCCCATTGGTGTGTATTTTTCTAGAGAAAAAAAAATCCTCGATTTTCACTAAATTCTCAAAGGATGTTGTTATTAAAAACAAGCACACGCTTTCTAGAGCTAATAGCCTACCTTCTCTTCCATCACAAGGAATTGCTTGTTTGATGGTGAGGCTGAGTATTGAGGACTTTTGTCCTCAGCTAGAATGTTCTCAACCCCAACATTTGTACCCCACAGCAGAGTGGAGTGCCTGTGGGGTACAAATGTAGGATACGAACTTATGAATTCCCGGGAGAACCTGCCACATGGCATTAGGCAAGCCATTTTTCATCTGTGCACTTACTCACCATAAAAGTGGAATAGTGGGCCAGCCCTGTGGCGCAGTGGCTAAATATTGTGCATAGAGAGCTGGACCTCACACAGTCAATTATGGTTCAAATTCTGGCCCAAGTAGCTTGAAAAATAACCCAAACATATGTGTATATGCATATCCAAAAAGGAAAGGGGAAATAGACGAGAGGATTACAGTGTTACTATGCTCCACTGGGGGTGTTGTCTCTCTCTGTCTCTCTCTCTCTGGCAAGTATATGTTCCCTGTGACATTAGAAATGGGGAAAACAACAACAAAAATAGGAAATTGATTCTATAATATTTTAAAAGTTAATTTTAAAAATTATGTAGAAGGTGGAGGGGCCGGTAGGTGGTATGGTGGTTAAAGGCGCTGGATTCCCACATGGCTGACCATGGTTCTAGTCCTGGACCTGGTGGCTTGCTTTCTCACTTTCTCTTCCTCTCTCTCTCTCACTCTGTCCCTCTCTGGTCAAATTTAAATAAGCAAATGAATACATAATAAATAATTTCCCCATTTCCCACATGCCTTCCCTGAGCACTCGCTGGTTGGGCTTCCTCCAACCCTTTGCAACTTTAACTGAATTCCTGTTTCTTCCCATAGATAAGATTAATATTTGACATTTAAAAAGTAATTAATAGGATACCACCAGATGTCATAATAGTTATGTCTTCAAACTCTCAGGTAGTCAACCGCAGTTTGAGTCCTGGACCAGTTGGCTTCAAACTCTCACTGGTCACATGTGCATGTGTTCCCCAAATCCCTAGAGGGGAACGGAGGAGAAGGGATTGTATTGACATCCACCCTGGGGGATTATTTCTTGCTATCTCTCTCTCTCTCTCTGGCAAGTATATGTTCCCTGTGACATTAGAAATGGGGAAAACAACAACAAAAATAGGAAATTGATTCTATAATATTTTAAAAGTTAATTTTAAAAATTATGTAGAAGGTGGAGGGGCCGGTAGGTGGTATGGTGGTTAAAGGCGCTGGATTCCCACATGGCTGACCATGGTTCTAGTCCTGGACCTGGTGGCTTGCTTTCTCACTTTCTCTTCCTCTCTCTCTCTCACTCTGTCCCTCTCTGGTCAAATTTAAATAAGCAAATGAATACATAATAAATAAAGTTAAATAAAATAATTTTTTAAAAAATTATGTAGAAGGTGGGAAATTTAGGCCTGTACAGAAAGTGTTACTTCATTCTTGGAACCTGAGTGGCTCACTTCCATTTCCCAGAGCCTGTTTGTTGGGTTTGTTTTCTTCCAGGGATAGCTGTTACAATAGTTTATAGCAACTACCATGTAGAGATGCTATAAACTATATCATGATAACATAATAAATGTAGTATTGCTTGATCCTTGATCTCTTGAGGACAAATATAAACTCATTAAAACAGAACAGTGATCCTAGAAGAACTGCTGTTCACAAACAGAGTCACTGTCTCCAAGCCACATAGAATGTTTGCCCTGTCTACTCTCAGACATTGGTAGAAATGGAGAGGAACAGATCTAGTTAGTCAGACAATAAACATTGGTTAGGCATCTAAGCAACAACTGGTCCAAACAACATTGACATTTAGCTCAGAGAATGGAGATGAGAGAAGATGGGATGTCATGGCTGAGCTCAAGACGCCCAGGCCTCCCCGGAGTTCAATGACCATATAGACTCAGTGATGGCATTAATGAAGGCAGCAGTAATTGTCTGATGTCACTATCATTTACGCTGAGAGGTTTTATTTTACGTAAGTCTAAGGACTCTCATTGTTAGTGCTATGAGAAAGGGAAGTAGCAAACTGAGTTATCCTTTTATTAGAAACTTGGCATAGCAGTTTGGTGGGCACAGAGGGAAAATCCAAGAATGTGTTTAAGATTTTCCCATGCAAATATTGGATCTCTCAATACAAGAGAGGTTCTGTTGGCCTTTTGAAGCAGTATTTTAAATATTACAGTTCCAGGACTTTTCTTTCCCTGACCACTACCAGCCCAATGAGATCACTATGGAAGTATTTTCAGAGAGCTGATGATAATATTGGGTAGAATATCTAATTTCTCAATTTACATGTACTCCCTCTCCGTAAATGTTAACATGTTAATTAAGTCATTTTCCTGAAACTTTGTAAGAGTTTTAAATAATCTCATTCCTTACACAGTGTTGTAGAGTATGTTGTTTCTTTGTCCTTTGTCACAGTAAATTATACCATGTTTTCAAAAATAATTTGAAAGCCACAAAACATATACCTTAAACCTACAAACAAAAGATATTTTGCTGGAGCAAATCAAGTGCTAGAGAAAAGAACCTAAGAAAAACTTAGAGCTGAGAAAAAGAAAAATGTGCAAAGCTAAAAATAGTAACTTAGTCTATCTTGCCAGTATTGGTACTAAATTGCAGCATGAAGAGGCAGCTTATTTGAAGGTAGAGGGTACACTTTGGTATTGTCAATATCCTACATAATTATCTCCTCATTGGTACACGCTGGTTAATATCCTATTTGCATACTAACACAATATGTGTGCAGATATACACACACACACATATGCTATGCAGAAATATAGAAAAACTGACATGTCCTCTTAGCTGTTGACGAATTAGATTTTACAATTGGGAGTTGTAGGTGTTGTGGAAGCAACTAGAGGAAGAAAGAGATACAAAAGTATTAATAGCCAACATTCATAGATTTATAACAACATTTGTTATATGCCAGGCTTTTTAGAATATTTAAATGGAATATATCATTTGAAATTTGCAATAACCTTAAAAGGGTCAGTCCTACTGTAATTTGGTTTTAGATGTGAAGACAGTGAAGCCCATAGAGATTATGTAACTAGGCCAATTGCACACAGCTGGTAAAGCCCAGGTGGTCTGTCTCTGGAGCCAGTTTTTGTTTTTTTAATTTTTACAATTTAAATATTTATTTTAATTTTTTTGAACATTTACTTACTGCACATTCTTACTTATACTGCGTATTAGTCCAGTCAAAGATATTAACATACACATAAATACCAAAAGATAATTTTCCATGTTTGCGTCCATTAAACATTTTGCTTTTTTCTTTCCATTGATTCCCTCCCTCCTGCCCTGGAGCCATTTCTAACCACAATATGGGCTGTTTCTGTACAAGCATTTGGCATGTTTTCTCTTTGCTCTTGTGGCAATTTGTTTTTTTGTTTGTTTGTTTTGGTTTTTGGGTTTTTTTAGAGGTTTTTGCTATAGGGCGCGTGCACTCACTAGACAGACAGAGAGAGAGACAGAGAGTCAGAAAGCGAGAAATCACCCCCCAGGAGGAATGGCCATGCCGCAATCCCTTCTCCTCCATTCTCCTCTCAGGATCTTGGGCACACACGCACATGCACCCGGCGTGAGTTTTAAGCCACCGGGTCCGGGACACGAACCGCAGTCGACTACGTGGGAGTCCAGCGACATAGCCATTATGCTAACTGTTGGTCCCTTCTTGTGGCAATTTGTGGTGGCCAGTGTTCCCCAGATGATGTTTTCATGACTCAGGAAGGACATTGACCACTAGGGAGCTGGAAGCTTCCAGGAGGGTCTGCTCCTCCCACTCCATCACCACATCATTCATATAGTAGGTTCCTCAGAATGGGCTCTCTAGACTTTTCTAGAATAGATTGTGCTTTCTGCTCTCTAAGACTGTGATATCCTGTAAGAAGAAAGCTTAGCCTCTGTTCTCGCCACCCTGAGGTCTGGCCACTATTCACTACTCAGACATCATGCTCACACTGGGAAACCACCAGTATTCTTCAGAGTGGACAACGTGGACCAAGAGAAATACAGAATAGAAGGAATAACCCTGTCTCGGCTCTACTACACAGCATGTTACCATGCTTTCTCAGAACTCTGTAAAATTAGGGGAGAGAGAGAACTAACCTTCTTGAGCATAGATCATTATTCACAATTTCTTAATATTATTACATTTACTCTTCTTGACAACCTTTGTGAGGCACAGGATACCCATGTTCACAAGTGAGGAGCTAACGTTCAAGAATATCCTGTGACTACAAAGACTATCTTCTCTCTACCTGCTACCCCCCCCCCCCCCCCCCCCCGCCAGTCAAAGATGTCTAAGCCTCCTCTCTGTCCTGAATTGGAATGAATCTATAAACGGATTTTTTAAAAATTATGTTTAATTTGCCAGTGGGTGCATGTGCTTGCCAGAGACACACAGAGAGAGGCAGAGGGAGAAAGCACCTCCCTCCCCATTGAAGTGTGGTCATGCTACAATTTCTTTTCCTCCATTTCTCCATTCTGTCAGGATTTGAGACACACATGCACGCGTGCCCAGCATGTTTTTCAAGCCACTTTGACAGGACTTAAACCATGATCAGTCATGTGAAATCTGGTTCCCCTAACTACTAGGCCATAGGACCAACCCCTGTACCTGAATTTTATATGCATATGGAATAACAGAAAAGAAAGGCTTCTCTTGGGGGCCAGCAGGTGGCATGGTGGTTAAGTCACTGGACTCCCACATGGTAACCACAGTTCAAGTCCCAGATCTGGCTACTTTCTTTCTCTCTCTCTCTCTCTCTCTCTCTCTCCCTGGAACACACATACCATATACCAAATTTAAAAATAATAATGAATAAATTAAATTAATTATTCTTTTTTTAAAAAAGAAATGTATCTCTTGAGGTTTAATAAGGGTCGTTTTAGGATAAATATAAAGAGGGACCAGCAGATGTGTTGGTTACATCACTAGACTCCCATGTAATCAACCGCAGTTCAAGTCCCAGACCTGGTGGCTTAAAACACCAGGTGCGTGTGTGTCTGTGCCCAAAATCCCAAGGCGAGAATAGCAGAGAAGGTCAAAATCCCAAGGGGAGAATAGAAGAGAAGGGATTGTGGCATGGCCATCCCCACTAGGGGAGATGATGTCTGTCTCTCTGTCTCTCCAGTGAGTGTATACTCCCTGTAGCAAAAATATCTCTCTCTCTTAAAAAAAAAAAAATCGAAAAGATAAATATGAAGAAATACTAATGTACTTTTGGTAGAAGTTTTAGAAGCTAGTAATTTAAAATATGGTACTTGCTGAAGTTTTGTGTAAGTCTAAAAACAGTGTAGAGAAAAAAAAAATTGATGATTTAGCCTGAATAAAGCTAAAGATTATTAAACTGTGAGAAATAACCATACTTTTCCACAGAATATGTCCTGGAGCCATATCTGATACAAAACCATGGTTGGAAGAGACTTTCTAGAGAATATCCTCTTCGTTTGTTTATTTTTCTACATTTTTGCTATAGGGCACATGCCCTTGCCAGAGAAAGAGAGAGACAAATTACCCCCCAGGGAGAATGGCCATGCCATAATCCCTTCTCGTTCTCCTCTCAGAATTTTGGACCCATGCACATGTGCTTGACATGTTTTCATGTCTCCAGCTCTGGAACTCAAATCATACCAATGGCCATGTGGGATCCAGCTGCTTTAACCACCATGCCACCTAGCTGACCCCAAAAACATTTTCAAGTTACAAGAATTTTAAAAACTAGTTTTGAGAGATGTCAACCAACTTTTAAAAATCATGGAGTCTCATACAGCTTAAGCAATACAGGTATAAATCAGAGATACCATATAGTTTCTTCACTTTCTATGTGAAGAAAGCCATGTTATAGTTCCATATAGGTTCTCAATAATGATTCAGGTATTGGCCTCTGAAAAATTTGCTTAGTCTTGGGAGCCAGCAGTTAGCATAATGGCTATGTCACTGGACTCCCATGTAGTCAGCCGCGGTTTGCATCCCGGACCCGGTGGCTTAAAACTCACGCCAGGTGCGTGTGCATGCGTACCCAAGATCCCGAGAAGAGAAGGGATTGTGGCACGGCCATCCCCCTTGGGGGGTGATTTCTCGCTTTCTGTCTCTCTGTCTTTCTCTGTCTGGCGAGAGCACGCGTCCTCTCAAAAAAAAAAAAAGTGAAAGAATCTCCAAGTGAGTTACATTGTTTGATAAAATAAAATTTAACTTCTTTCTAAATATTTTGACGTAATTAAGATATCAAAACTTAGAATGTAGGGAACCAGCAGTTAGCGTAATGGCTATGTCGCTGGACTCCCACATAGTGGACCGTGGTTCACATCCCGGACCTGGTGGCTTAAAACTCACGCCGGGCACGTGTGCGTGCGTGCCCAAGGTCCCAAGAGGAGAATGGAGGAGAAAGAATTGCGGCGTGACCATCCCCCCTGGGGGGTGATTTCTCGCTTTCTGTCTCTATGTCTCTCTCTGTCTGTCTGGCGAGCACACACGCCCTATAGCGAAAACCTCTCCAAAAAATAAAAATAAATAAATAAATAAACTTAGAATGTAAATCTGGAAAATATCTTGACTAATCAAGGCAGTTATTTAATTCCATTCATTTACAGACAAAACAAGTGAGCCCAGCAACTCACAGTGACCTACCTAGTACCACAGTTTATTAATTACAGACTTTGGACTAGACTCCAGTTTTCCTGAGGCCACCTCAGGACTCCTTCATCACACCCTGTGATTGCCCCTAAGTTAATATAATGCTAGAGAGTCACAAATGTTAGCTGCAAGTTCCCATGGAGATAAGTTCATCTTCCTCATTTTTACAGCTGAGATGACTAAGATTCAGACAAGGTGAACAGTGTGCCCAAAGCGGCAGACCCGGAGTTAGAGCCCAAGTCTTCTGTCCCTTAGTCCGAGTCTTTCACTTCAAATCTGGGCTTTGTAAGAAGCAAGGTTTTACCTTCCCATTGACTTTTTAAAAACTTACTGGAAAATCTGCGTCAGTATCATTGCTACTTGTGTCATTGCTATGTTTACTTTTATTTTGCATAGCCGTCCCTGTTAAATCAGAGCTGGCAGTTGAAATCTTGGAGAAAGGACAAGTTCGGTTTTGGATGCAGGCGGAGAAGCTGTCCAGCAACGCTAAAGTCAGCTACATATTTAATGACAAGGAAATTTTCGAAGGGCCGGTAGGTTTGATGCTTTTTTAAATTTCTTTTTAAAAATTTTTAAATTTGCATTAAATCACTATATATCTTTACAGTGTATAACATTGCTTTTTTCAGCATGAAGGCTTTATGCTTTCTAGATATTTAAACATATCATTTTAGAATATTCTGAGGTCCTATTAGAATACATATAAATTATATGCATATAAAAATGTGTTATAAAAAACACTGGGGAGTGAGTGAGGTAGGGAAGTTTAAGTCATTTTCATATGTAAAACATGGGAAGGAAAAGTACAGGCTGACTACATCATATTGTCCAAACTAGGATACTTTTGAGCATGAAAGAGGCTGCTATTAATAATTTTTCAAGATCAGCAGTTATAAAACAAAACCATCTTAGGCAAATCGCCCATGAAAATAGAGAACAGCTTTCCTGGGAAGACAAAACAGCAAATACCTTTTCCTAAACTCGCAGTATATTCACCTTAAAAACTCCAGCACAAACTTGATACATTATATAGAGAACATGATCTCTTACAATGGCTCAGAAAAATGCAGCTAAAATATCACTCATTGCTTTTCTGGTTAAAAATGCAATATATCCTTATCATTAAAAAATTTAAAGACTTGGGAAGGACAAATCACACATTCTAACAACTTTTTGATGTACGTGCAGGTATATACCTTTCAGATGCTTGTCCTATACTTTGTGTGTAGTTTATATTTTTGTGTCCTATTCGCATAGGTGATTTTATATATGTGTGTGTATGTATATATAAAAAGCTAGTGTTATAATAAGATGTATACAAAATATTATTCTCTTTGTTTTCGACATAAGCATAGTGTTCATAGATAGAGTTACAACTTCTGAACTATATTTGCCCTCCTCATGTTATCAGCAGAGACAGCTCTGGGCCAGTACCCAGCAGTACTAAAGAACTCAGAGTTCAGAGACTCTGGCCCTCACCTGTACTATTTTTTTTTTTTTAAGAGTTTTTTGCCATAGGGCACATGTGCTCACTAGTCAGACAGAGAGAGACAGAGAGACAGAAAGCAAGAAATCACCACTCAGGGGGAATGGCCACACTGCAATCCCTTCTCCTCCATTCTCCAATCGGGATTTTGGGCACGCACGCACACATGCCCAGAGTGAGTTTTTTTTTTTTAGAGATTTTCACTATAGGGTGTGTGCGCTTGCCAGACAGACAGAGAGAGAGATAGAGACAGAAAGCGAGAGATCACTCCCCAGGGGGGATGGTCACGCTGCAATCCCTTCTCCTCCATTTTCCTCTCGGGATCTTGGGCACACACACACACACACCCAGCGTGAGTTTTAAGCCACCGAGTAGCCGTGGTCAACTATGTGGCAGTCCAGTGACATAGCCATTACGCTAACTGCTGGTTCCCGCCCGGAGTGAGTTTCAAGCCACCGGGTCCAGGACTCGAACTGTGGTTGACTACATGGGAGTGCAGTGACATGGCCAATATACTAACTGCTGGTCCTGTCACCTGTACTATTATAAGTGTCAATGAGAGACTAATTACAGGGAGAAGATATAGTCTGGAAACCCATTCTGTTTTTACTGAGATATATTTTTAAAACACTTGGGAACCAGCAGTTAGCGTAATGGCTATGTCGCTGGACTCCCACGTAGTCGACCGTGGTTCATGTCCCAGACCCGGTGGCTTAAAACTCACACCGGGTGCGTGTGCGTGCGTGCCCCAGATCCCGAGAGGAGAATGGAGGAGAAGGGATTGCGGTGTGACCATCCCCCATGGGGGATGATTTCTTGCTTTCTGTCTCTATTTCTCTCTCTGTCTGTCTGGCGAGCGCACGTGCCCTATAGCAAAAACCTCTCCAAAAAAAAAAAAAAAAGAACACTTGAGGATTCCTCAGTGAGGGGGAAAAGGAATAACATAATAGCAAAAGAGTATGCTATACATTTTTATCAGTACATATGATGTCTTTACGTAGAACAAGTCACTCACACACCCACTATGGTCCATTCCCACCCTATTTTGAAAATGTTCTCATCGACTACTGTGATCACCACCTGCCAGGGGAGAGGTAGAAAAAGCATTGCTGACCACACTGTACCCGCAGCCAGAGTGGCCATTCACACGCATGTGTGTGTGGATGCACTCCTCTTCAGTGTTCAAGCATGCACACACGTTGCCATGCACGTATACAGTTATTATCTTAGGTCAAGTTCCCTATAAGGAGTTGGAAATAGGGCTTCATTTTTGCATGATTTATTGAGAGAGGACCATCAGGAGGGGACAAGGGAGAGGGTGGGGGGGAACTAAGCAAAATGCTCTTTCTTCTTGCAGGGAGGTTTAGGGAGCATAGCTTGTACCAGGGAATTGGTCCCAGACCTAAGCCATCATTCTAAATCTGTCATGGAATTTGTACTTGTCTGCCCAGGCCTAGGATTTATCTCTCCATTCTGAAAACAAAACAAAAAGCCAAAAAAGCCAATGCGACAAAATAACCACAGCATAAAAGGACTATTTTGGTTCCTCGAGAGCAAATAGATTTTAAATGGTTCAGAAGCATTTTATTATTGACATATTAATTCAGCAGCTGTTTATTGTCTGCAGTATACTGTGCATACGCTAGATGTTGGTGGTGCAGCTAGGGACTTTTTCACACCGCCTACAGTTTACATTGTTCTGATCATTTAAAGTAGTGTGGTCAGGAGAGTGATAAAATGAGAGTCTAAAAACAACTTTCCAATAACATTTTGTGACACAGGGTAACAAAACTCTATTTATATTTAAGATAAAATTTCAGGCTTTTTTGTAATCGATTCTGGTGTAAGTAGATTAGTCCACACAATATTTCTCTTTTCCCAAGTACCACACTTGAAAGAACTTGTTCAATTGTCAAAGCTTTCATTAAAATTATGATGCTTTAGAGCTTATTGCTATTTCATTAGGCATATTGTCATCACAGAAAAATATCTGCCTTCTGACATTTGTCTTTTCCTTTCACAATGAAGAAATATAAGATGCATATTGACCGAAACACTGGCATAATTGAAATGTTCATGGAAAAGCTACAGGATGACGATGAAGGAACATATTCTTTCCAGATTCAAGATGGAAAAGCAACTGGCCATTCTACTATTGTTCTCATTGGTGATGGTAAGAATTCTGTGGAACATTAACTAGAAGACTTCCATGCATAAAAGGGGTCATACGTAGCAGATATTATTTCTGAACTGAGTTCCACTCTTCAAAGTACAGTCTTCAGTTAATGCTTTCCATAGTATTTCATTTCAAAGGAACAAAAGTTTATTTAAAAGAACATCAAAGCTATCCTTGGCCCACAAGCAAGACTGCATTTAAATAGTCTCATATGTAAAAAAAGTATTTATTACTTAAATTTCCAGTGAAGAGGATTATAATACAACAAACTATGATACTGTTTTACAATATGTACTTCCTCTAAATTACTTAAATTAAGAAGAAAAATATGGGACCAGCAGTTGGCATAATGGCTATGTCACTGGATTCCCATATAGTCAACTGTGGTTCGAGTCCCAGACCCAGTGGCTTAAACTCATGCCAGGCATGTGTGCGCGTACGCCCAGGATCTCAAGAGGAGAAGGGATTGTGGCGTGGCCATCCCCCCCACCCCCAGAGAGTGATTTCTCACTTTCTGTCTCTGTCTCTTTCTCTTTCTGGCGAGCACACGTGCCCTATAGCAAAAAGCTCTGAAAAATTTTAAGAAAAATATGTAAAAGTAGTGCTTGCCAAATCTATCAATTATATATTAGGTTGTCAGAAAAGTTATGACATATTTTTCTATATTTTTCTTGCAAAACTGTGTCATGACCTTCTCCACGACTCTTGTTGTAGGTCAGCTGCCATAAGCAACTATGGGAACCACCAAAATTTTAAACATGGCATTTGACACAGCAATGAAAAAGCTGATAGGATATCTATATTTGCAACATCCAACACTGTTTCAGTGTTTACTGGATTTATAACTTTGGACAAGCTAGTTAACCTTTCTAAACCTATTTCTTTACCTATAAAAATAAAAAACAAGTAGAGTCATCACAATGGATGAGTATTATAATAACTGTTATAAATCACTGTGTAGTGGCCAGATGTACATTTACTGCTCAATTCAACTTTGTATTTCCTTGTTTTTCAATTCTCAGTTTATAAAAATCTCCAGAAAGAAGCTGAATTCCAGCGGCAAGAATGGATCAGGAAGCAAGGTAAAAAATAGGCCTTGGGTAAAGAGAAAATCTTCAATTATTTTGTACAAACTGCTCCAAGATTATTTCCACAACAAATAAAAGTAAATATTATGTTAGCAATGCCAGACAAATAAAAATAATTGAAAATATTTGTCATTACATATGTAGATATTGGCCCAGCCACAGAAGCACGGCAGCAGCACTCAGCAATGCTGAATCCATAAAGAAGATCCAGGTTTAGTTCTCACGTTGGGCTTTACATGCCAAGTGTACATACATCCATAATCCTTGCTAGGTGGGAAGGCTTGGGGGATCACAATGTGAGACCCTGTTGATGATTCTTTTCTCTCTCTCTCTCTCTCCCCCTCATAAAATAAATAAATAAATAAACCTTTAAAAATATGTAGTTATCAGGCTGGCCCCATGGCCTAATGGTTAAGGAAGCAGAAATTCCCATGGCAAACCTCACTTCAAGTCCTGCTCGTGGTCCTGGTAACTTGAAAAACATCTTGGATCTCTTTTTCGTGGCGAATCAGAGGAGGTCAGCTGCTTCAAGATGAAGCTGAGTATCTCCTTCCCAGCCACAGGCTGCCAGAAACTCATTGAGGGGGATGATGAACGCAAACTTCATACTTTTTATGAGAAGTGTATGGCCACAGAAGTTGGTGCTGACACTCTGGGTGAAGAATGGAGGGGTTATGTAGTCTGAATCAGGATGGAAATGACAAACAAGGTTTCCCCATGAAGCACGGTGTCCTGCCCCACGGCCGTGTCCGCCCGTTACTGAGTAAGGGATATTCCTGTTACAGACCAAGGAGAACTGGAGAAAGAAAGCGCAAATCTGTTCAGGGCTGCATTGTGGATACCAATCTGAGCTCTCTCAACTTGGTTATTGTAAAAAAGGAGAGAAGGATATTCTAGGACTGACTGATACTACCGTGCCTCATTGCCTGGGGCCTAAGAGAGCTAGCAGAACCCTAAAACTTTTCAGTCTCTCTAAAGAAGATGATGTTGGCCAATATGTTGTAAGAAAGCCCTTAAATAAAGAAGGTAAGAAACCTAGGACCAAAGCACCTAAGATTCAGCGTCTAGTGACTCCCTGTGTCCTGCAACACAAACACCAGCGTATTACTCTCAAGAAACAATGTCTAGGACCAAAGCACCTAAGATTCAGCGTCTAGTGACTCCCTGTGTCCTGCAACACAAACACCAGCGTATTACTCTCAAGAAACAATGTACTAAGGGGCCAGCAGTTAGCGTAATGGCTATGTCGCTGGACTCCCACGTAGTCGACCACGGTTCGCATCCTGGGGGGTGATTTCTTGCTTTCTGTCTCTCTGTTTCTCTGTCTGGCGAGCGCACGTGCCCTATAGCAAAAACCTCTCAAAACAAACAAACAAAAAAAAGAAAAGAAAAGAAAAGAAAAGAAAAGAAAAGAAAAAGAAACAACGTACTAAAAAAATAAGGAAGAGGCAGCAGAATATGCTAAACTTTTGGCCAAGAGAATGAAGGAGGCTAAAGAAAAACGTCAAGAACAGATTGCGAAGAGATGCAGGCTGTCATCTCTGAGAGCTTCTACTTCTAAATCTGAATCCAGTCAAAATAAGATTTTTATGAGAAAGAAATAAATAAGATCAAATCTCAAAACAAAACAAAACAAACAAAAAAAACACCTTGGCTACATATGCTTGTAGACCCAAAATCCCAACAGGATGAAGAAATGGAGGAGAAGGAATTGCAGCATGACCACACTCTAATATGGGTGCTTTCTCCCCCTCCCTCTGTTTCTGTCTCTCTGTCTCTTTCTGGCTGACACACATGACTTCTGTCAATAAAAAAAAAAAATGTACACATTAAAAACATTTCAAAACTAAATCTAGAATTTTTGAAGTTTATTTCTTCCATGAGTGAGAGAGACAGAGAGAAAGAAAAAGAGAGAGAGAGAGAACCAACAAGTCTGTGAACCACCTTGAGCCTTCAGCCTGCCCTGGACCATGGGCATACATGTACCTGGGATACTCAGACAGGTCTCCAGATTTGAACCAGAATCCTTCTCATGTGCGATTACCTCACAGAGTATCACATTTTACTGCTGCACTGCTGTCTGGCCCTATCAGTATAGAATTTTTAGATTTTGACTTTAAATATAAATGACCTTAGGATTTGAAAAGAAGCATTGATTTTTGCATTTGTGATTAATAGAATAATGGCTGATGACATTAACATTTTACAGGTCCTCATTTCGCTGAGTATTTGAGCTGGGAAGTGACTGGTGAATGTAATGTATTATTGAAATGCAAGGTAAGAGGTAGATACATTTTTAATACTTGATTCAAGGTTAAGTAAACATAAAATAGAATGTAGAGAAGAGGAAGATCCTTTTCCATCTTGTCAATTTGGGTCAAAGTGATAAGTGATACATCCTTATTATCAGATGCTACTGTAGCCATTGGTTGGTAAGAAACATTTAAAATAAAACAACATAAACATATAGAAAGGCATTCTAAGTAGTACATCTATCCCATACCAGAAATATTCCAGAAACAGTATTTGTGTGGGTGGGTGGGTGGAAGAGGACCTCCTATCTAAATTGTGAGACTGGCACAATCCCTTTGAGGGTTCAGTCAGCTGTGCTACTGATTCTGAAACCACTGGGTTGCCTTGAGAGGAGAGATTTGGTAAATGGTTTGCAGTTGACAGTCTATTGTCTTACCAGAACTATGGAAAGATTTAGAAAAAGAAATTTCTAAAATTATTTTATTTAACTTTATTTATTACTATTATTATTTTCTAACTTGACCAGAGAGAAATAGACAGAGAGGGAAAATGAGAAAGTAAGCTGCCAGGCCCAAGACTCGAACCATGGTTTTTCCACTGATCATTATTGTGTTCAAAGTATGATTTTTTTTATCTTGGAAACACTGTATCATGGATTAATCATACACATAATCCTTGATAATTTTCCATTTCTCCTTTCTTGTATATATATTTTTCTCCCATGTCTAGTTCCCCGTCCTACCCACCTCCCTCCACACACCCTGTCCCAATGTAGCTTTCCAGTCCGATCATAAGCAATTTCCCCTAATAATGCAGTTGCTTTCTATAATTCAGGAACCATTTGCAAGGTCATAAGAAGGTTTGTATATACTGGTTTCACTATAGTTACCAGTATTGGTTCTTATGTTTATTCATTTATTAGCGACAGCTTTTTAAAATTTTAAAACTTGGATATTCTTGTTTATAATGAGCCAAAAACATTTTCTTCATCTATTTGCTTTGTAGTTGCATTTCTTCTGGCAGGTGGCATAATGGTTAACGTGCTGGACTCCCACATGGCCAGCCGCAGTTTGAGTCCCACACCTGGTGGCTTGCTTTCTTTCCCTCTCTCTCTCTCTGTGTTTCTGTCTCTTTCTGATCAAATTAAGATAAATGAATAAATAAATAAAATAAAATTAATTAAAAAAATTATAAAAAGAATTTGTATGTATGAATCACCAGTTATTTAGTGACATCTTCAGGATTGTTTTCTTGATTTGTATGAGGTCTTTTTTTATAATTCTATTTAAGAAACACACGGATATATTCTCCTTGGTAAAATATTCAAATATTATAGATTAAAACTCAATAACTCTTTACCCATATGAGGTTGCTTAGCTCATTTGAAATTTTATGATGTGCTATGATATGTGGATTAGGACCTAAATGAGTTTCCTCAAAAAATCAATGAACAATTGGGAACCAGCAGTTGGCATAATGGCTATGTCGCTGGACTCCCACGTAGTTGACCACGGTTCACATCCTGGACCTGGTGGCTTAAAACTCACTCTGGGCGCGTGTGCGTGCGTGCCCAAGATCCCGAGAGGAGAATGGAGGAGAAGGGATTGCGGTGTGACCATCCCCCCAGGGGGGTGATTTCTCGCTTTCTGTCTCTATGTCTCCCTGTCTGTCTGACGAGCGCACGCGTCCTATAGTGAAAACCTCTCCAAAAAGAAAGAAGAAAAAAAAAATCACTAAATTCATTTATTAAACCATACTGCCCTCTACATAGATTTTCAAGGGTTCATTTATCTTTTAAATTTGAATTTTTAGATAGAGAATGGGGCTTACTCATTCTGTTCCTTTAATGAAGTTATTTATTCTTGTGTATTTTAATCTGATGGGATTTGTCTTCCTATGTCTCGGGTTTGTTTGTTTTTTTTTGTTTTTGTTTTTGTTTTTGTTTTGCTATAGGGCGCGTGCGATCCCCAGACAGAGAGAGACATAGAGACAGAAAGTGAGAAATCACCCCCCTGGGGGGATGGTCACACCGCAATCCCTTCTCCTCCATTCTCCTCTCGGGATCTTGGGCACGCACTCACACGCACCCGGCATGAGTTTTAAGCCACTGGATCCGGGACGCGAACCGCAGTCGACTACGTGGGAGTCCAGCGACATAGCCATTACGGTAACTGCTGGTTCCCTGTCTCAAGGTTTTTATTAAAGTATTTGTGTTAGTATGTATGTATCTCATCTCTCCTTTCTTGTCGACCAAGTGATTTTTACTACTAGAATAGTGATGCTGTTTATTTAGGTTTATTTACTGGTAATTACTTTATTATTTTCTCAATTAAAATAGTTTTGTGAAGAAGCCATTGTTTTCTTTAGAACTCTAAGTCTTTTGATTCTAAGTTTAGTGCTTCTCTTATATCCCTTGCTGCATTAAGAACCATTTAGTTTCATAAGAGTAACATTTCCTTATTTCCAGAAGGGTAATTACGGCTTTCCTTCTAGGTGGCAAATATTAAGAAGGAGACTCATATTGTGTGGTACAAAGACGAGAGAGAGATCTCAGTGGACGAAAAGCATGACTTCAAGGATGGCATATGTACACTGCTTATAACAGAGGTAGGTGATTATGAAAGTCAAATGTAATAGCTTTCATTTCTGTGCCCTACATTCTTCTCCCAGAGACCCGATATTTCATTCCTTCATGCCCAGGAGGCTTATGAAGCTTACTTGCTTGCTTTTAAATTTTGCCTTAGGGTGCTACACTTACCAGAGAGACATGGGGTTGGGGGTGAGAAAGCACCCTTTGGGGGAATGACCACACCACAGTCCCTTCTCTTTCATTCTCCTCTTGGGATTTTGAGCATGCACACAGACATACCCAGTGTGTTTTTAATGCTGCCAGGTCTAGGATGTGAACCGCGCAGTAGTCAGCCACGTGCAAACCAGCTGCCTTCACTGTCACGCCACCTGGCTGGCCCTATGATAGCTTATTTCTAATTGCTGTAGGAACACACTTTGTGATGTATGTGGATTTGTCATATATCCACTCATTATCAGCTGGATACCATAACTCCTGCTTACCTGAGCTTTTTTTCGTGTGTGGGCAGTTAAGTGAATCCTTTTTTATACTTAAGTATCATAATACCTTGTACACAGTCAGTCAGTATTCATTTAAATATAGGGTTTTTTTCTTACTTTTTGTTCACAAGGCACAACTTTCAGATACATGTGATAATTAATTGATTTGTTTTTTTGTTTTTTAAATAAGTGAAGGCATAGTAAAAGGAGAGACTCTAAGCCTCAAAGCAGCGATAGCCTTAAAAGGTAAATAAGTCAGGACTGCTAGCTGGTTAAATTAATATGGACAGGTGCCTCTGTGAACTGTTCATCACTTACATGGCTAGATGTTTGTTCAGTGTATGTTTTTACGGCAGCTCCATGAATCACAGGGCTTTCAAAATGCAAACCCCATATTCTGAGGCTACAATGAGCTGCAATGTGTGTCTATGCCCCCTTAGTTTTCCAAGAAAGATGCTGGGTTTTATGAAGTTATCCTCAAAGACGACCGAGGAAAAGATAAGAGCAGATTGAAGCTCGTGGACGAAGGTCAGTGTACCCAGTGGTGTCTGTTTTGTGTGTTCTGTATGCAGGTTACTAGACTTTTGAGTGAGGCCAGGCCGATGATTGAAGTCCTACTGATTTCTTTTTTGTCCACATATTTTGGTTTAATTGAAATTCCAGCAGAGCGAATTACTGTTTTATTCAAAAATACTTCACTTTCAGTCTTCCTAGAAACCAGAAGTGTACTTTTGATCCTCAGAGAATGTGTAGTCTATAATCACTAGGGATCTGTTTTCAATTTAAATCTTCATTTTTTCTCAACTCTATAAAAATGTACCAAGATCAAAAACTTCTGTGAGTAGCATGTTGAAAACTAGTCCACTCTTAAAGGTGGCAAGAAAGATTTATATATGAAATTTGAAGCACCACAATTATTGGCAGAGCAAGAAAGCAATTTCCATTTTTCAGAGACTACTACGGACACATATATCATGATAATGAAAACCTCTAGGTGACCCCCAAACTCCAGCTTTGTTTCTGAGCCAGCTCTTTTCACAGTATTGCTGGCAACAAGCAGAAGTCCAACTATTGAGCTGACCTTCCCATTCTTGATGAAGACAAGGCTAAGTGTGTCTATTGACAAGACAAGCATTATAGTCTGAGGAAGGTCAGGGAGCCTTGGTAGTAATTCATTAAGAATTGATGACACAGATAAAGAAACTTCTCGTGTAAACTAGTTTCCAGGGATTTAAGAAGAAAGAATCCTGATGTCAAGAAACTTCCTAGAAATCTCATTGTCATTCTTTCTCTTGCATATAAATACAAGGGAATCTTCAAAATGTTCATAAAAATGCATATAATGAAAACAAACTGTGCATAGATTTCAACATTTTTTTGCACCAAAATAAACTGATACTTTAATTCCATTTTTTATTAACATTTCACACACTCCTCATCTCATGGTGAAAGAAAGATTTTGAGACAAAAAAAAAATGAATATAAACAGGGATCTTTTAAAACCTGATAAAAATAGAGTTATTTCCTTAACAAGTACTTGTCATCAATTGGCTAACAAATTCACCTTGTGTCCAATAACCTTAACAAGATAGGGAATCTTTGAGAGCTAATCACTTGAGATTTGACCCCACAGTGAGCATTTTTATACTTAAGCTTTCGCTGTGAACTTCTATCCATACAGCCTTCCAAGAACTGATGACTGAAGTATGCAGAATAATAGGTAAGTTAATGTCTTCTTACCACAATATTTCATTATTCTCCTGCCAGGAGAGGACTACAGTTGCATGAAATATGCTTTTTTCTTTTTACAGCTTTGTCTGCTTCTGATCTGAAGATCCAGAGCACAGCCGAGGGTATTCGACTGTACTCTTTTGTTACTTACTATCTGGATGATTTGAAAGTTAACTGGTTCCACAAGTAAGTATATGGGAATCGAATTGCTATATAGAAATCCTTTCTCCAACCGAGGAAGGAAGGAAGGAAGTTTAAAAAAAAGAAATTATTCTGTTCCCCTCAGTAAGGAGTTTCGTTTCGTTTCGTTTTGTTTTGTTTAGAGAGATTTTTGCCATAGGGCACGTGTACTCGCTGGAGAGAGACAGAGAGACAGAAAGTGAGAAATCACCCCATAAAGGGGGATGGCCACGCCGCAATCCCTTCTCCTTCATTCTCCTCTCAGGATCTTGGGCACACACGCACACATGCCCAGCATGAGTTTTAAGCTGCTGAGTCTGGGACTCAAACCACCATTGACTATGTGGGAGTCCAGTGACATAACCATTTGCTGGTCTCAGTAAGGAGTTTCTTACTTCTCAGGTCTGCCATTAATAAGCACAGGACTGAAACATCCAGGTTATTCCCTTACTGTGAGGTTAGTTATTTCCCTCAACATGTACACAGTGAAGCTGGTAATGGCTTCTTTATGATCTAAGAGATATCACAACTCACAGACATCTCTATAATGTAAACTCCATCTCCAGAAGATCATTCTCATATTATCTCTGCTCACCCAGGCATCCAGGACTCCATTTTTAGCCTCTCTTTCTACATACAGCTAACACATGTTATGGTCAGGATCAAGGCTGAAGCAGTGTGCTCCAGAAGGCATCAACTTTCTCATTATTATGAATTAACGGCCATTCACCAAAGAAGCTGAATCCAGAAGAGGGCCCAAGATTGCTGTAGTAGTTATTTTCAGCAGTTAGCATAGTTGAGCATTAACATGTTCATTGTCCAGCCACAGGAAACTTTGAAGATCTCAACACAACTCTGGAGATATTTGACCTACGTTGAACCTAAAGATTGTTCTAATCCCAAGCTACCTTTTGGGAGTTACAGATTGTTTCCATTTAAGGTCACCTCTTGGATTTTAAGAGCCAGAATAGGTTTCTAAGTCAAATGTGTCCTCCCACTTACACTCTTGACAGTTCCTTAATCTCTGTGTTTCCTTGAAATGTTCTGAGCTAAAAGAGAACAGAAACTTGGTATAGACAATCTGAAGGGATATGGCCACCTTTGGTCCAATCTGAGGATGCAGAGAACACTCATTCCCAACACCCAGATGTTTTTAAGTGCCCCACTGAGAAGTAGAAGCCCTAGAGAATGCAGACAGCGAGGTTTGTAGTCTACCTTTGGGGGGCATTCACAAAAGGGTGGACATTGCTCAAGCCCTTTAGATATAGGAATTCATTTTATATTCACAGCTCTGTGTAAAAGTACTCCTCACTTTGGTGATGGGGAAGCTCAGCCTCAGGGAGGTGATTTGCTCAAGGTCACACAGAGCAAAAAGTGGGTCAAGGCCTAGGCAGCCTTGTTCCAGAGCCTGGCTCATCACAAACTACCCACCTCTGTGGGGATAGTATTAACAATTTGCCAGAGCTGGGTCCCACAAAGCAATCATTGGTGTTTCTTTTTAAATTACTATTATGTCAAATAGTGTTTTTCTTATTATTACTATTTAAATAATTCCCGAATTCAAAAAAAACAAGAAATAGTAAAATTCCAGTGTAGAATGCTTGAAGTTCTATTCCTTTGTCCTGTCTTTCAGAATACACTTTAGATAAGTAATTGTAAGTTAAAATAGATCAAATTCTAGGAAGTTCCTCAGTGACATCTAGAACATTCTGATACATTACTTTGAAGAATAAAAGAAGTGAGATTAGTTGAATCATCAATCTAACAGTTTTATATCATCTCTAAAATAATTAGTTATTCAAAAAAATTAGAGGGGATCAAAGATCTCTATTAACAGAAACAAAAGTACAGAAAGATAAGACGATCAATTTTCATTGTTATAAGATACAGTACAATGATTATAGTTAACAATTTACTGTTAATCTTAGAATAATTAAAAATATTGCATGTTCCCAAATAAAATAATGACAAACAGCTGAGATGATGGACATGCTGACTGCCCTGCCCTGATTCAATCAATACAACATTGTAATCTTATACTGAAAAATCATATTATACCACACAGATATATGCAATTATTATATATCAATAAAAACATTGAAAATATGTTTTGAAGAAATTGCTATTAGACTAGCAAGGCCTAAATTTCACACATTATTTGGTCTAGTCAGTCACATAAGTTTTTCTTGTGTTTCCGTGTGCCTATTGAAGATTCAGGAAACAAAGATTGTTTTTGCTGTCAGTATGTAAGTATGTGGCATAATGGGCAGAAACCATAAAGTGGACTTCTGTCTTGACTTTGTGCCTGTCTTCCCTTGTGATTTTAGGCTAGTTGTTTAATTTTCTGAATCTCAGTTTTCCCTTAGATAAAATAGGAGCAACCTCTTCTGTTTGTTTGTTTTGGGGCCAGCCAGTGTCATGGTGGCTAAAGCATGAATATCTATTCTGTTTGAAACTCTACAAATGTAAGGTACTAGTATGCATGTTACCTAGAGATTAAAGAACTAAGACAAATTTATTGTAGGAAAGCAGAGAATAGTCTTTATATCTAACTCTCTAAGACATATCTATTGTTTAGGTTAAAGTATGTGGGGTTCAGTTTTATTTTATTATTATTTTTTAAGATTTGTCATAGGGTGTGTGCTCTGGCCAGAGAGAGAAAAATGAAAAGTAAGAAATCACCTCCCAGGGAGGTGTAGGGTGGATAGAATGGCCATGCCACAATCCCTTCTCTTCTCAGGATTTTGGCCATGCACACACACACTTCCAGCATGTTTTTGAAGCAGCCAGGTCCAGGACTTGAAGTAAGCAGTCAGCCGTGTGGGATCCAGTGCCTTAACCAAAACACCATCTGCTGGCCCCCAAATGGGTATTTTTACCCTTCATTTTATGATGTTTTTATTTTTTAGATTAGATAAATAAATATACTTTAAAGAATAAAGTAGTATAAGGAAAATCCTAAATACTTACTTGAAAGCTAAAAATTTTTGGTGAAGGGACCAGCAGTTAGTGTAATGGCTATGTCACCGGATTCCCATGTAGTCAACGGCGGTTTGAGTCCAGGAACCAGTGGTTTAAAAACTCACACCGGGCACGTGTGCATGCATGCCCAAGATCCTGAGAGGAGAATGGAGAAGGGATTGCGGCATGGCCATCCCCCCTGGGGAGTGATTTCTCACTTTCTTTCTCTCTGTCTCTCTCTGTCTTTCTGGTGAGCACACCTGCCCTATAGCAAAAACCTCTCCGAAAATAAAAAAAAATTTGGTGGTAAGTTTTATTTTTCTGTTTTTTTGAAAGTTCATTTTGGGGCCAGTCAGGGGTGTGGTGGTTAAAGCAGCTAGAGCCCATATGGCCAAATCAAGTCTCAGACCTGGCAGCTTGAAAAACACACTAGACGTGTGCATGTGTGCTCAAAATCCTGAGAGGACAATGGAGGAGAAGGAATTGCAACGTGGCAATCCTCTTGGGGAAGTATGTGTGTATGTGTGTGTGTGTGTGTGTGTGTGTGTGTGTGTGTATGAGGGGGTGCTCTTTCACTTTCCCTTTCTTTGTCTCTCTCTCTGCCTCTCTCTGATAAGTGCACGCACCCTACAGCAAAAATAAAAAAAAAAAAAGTGTTTGTTTTGGGCCAGCCAGTGTCACGATGGCTAACTGGTTCCCACATGGCTGACTCATGGTTCAAGTCCCTGACCGAGAGGTTTGAGGAACACTTTAGGCACATGTGCATGTTTGCTCAAAATCCCAAGAGTGCTTTCAAGGAATAAGAGAAATGAAGATTATATACTGATAATTCAGCCTCTAGCCCCCAGTCTCGAATGGAGAGGCAAGGCGCAGGCCTTCAGAAGATTCCTCTGTTGCAGCTGAGAACTAGTGCTTCCAGGGAATAAGAGAAATCAAGATTGTCTACTGATAATTCAGTTTCCAGTCCCCAGTCTCAAGTGGTAGGGTGCCCCCTGTATCCTTCTCTCTTTCTCTCTCTCTCTCTCTCTCTCTGTCTCTCCCTGCTTCTGTCTTCTCATTTTTTTGTAATTTTTAAAACATTTTTTTTATGGTAAAGTATTCTCTTGGCTTTCAGATCCTCCTTTATCTTGCTAATAATCCCCTTTCCTTTTGCCCATTTAGGAGAGGCAAGGGGCAGGCCTTCAGAAGAAGACTGAGAACTAGTGCTTTAGTTTTTTGCTTTTAAAAAAATAAACATTTTTTGGTTGTTTTTTCTTTTTTTGTATCTCTTTCTCTCTCTCTTTTTATTTCTCTGTTATCTTTTCCTTTTTTGTTTATCTCATCACTTTGCTGCTCAGTGACGAGATTATCCTTCATATGGGAAGAGAAGACAAAAACATTCTCAGATAAACAAAACCTAAGGGAATTTACCAACACCAGACCAGTTCTCCAAGAAATTCTGAAGGGAGTGCTATATCAGGAAAACTGAAGTCAGACACACAGAAATAAGAGTTTAAAAACATCTAAGAAAAGGGCCAGCTTAATGGTAGGGACAAGTCCAGAGTTGAATATTATCTTCCATATGGAAAGCTTGGACCACAACAGAAGTACCTGAGCCTGAGCTGGTGAAATAGAATTGTATGACTTTTGACTAAAACAACACTGATCTTTTTCTATGTTTTGTACTCCAGAAATAAGGATTTTTGTCTTCTCTTGAATCGTCAACAGATCCATGTACCTACTATTTGAACAGATTCCTAACCTGTTTCCTGACTTTAAGTCTTAAAATTCTAACATTTTTAAATTTTTATTTATTAAAGCTAAAACTACCTTTCTTGAAATTAAAAAAATATATTAAAGAATACATACTTAATGACCACAGTAAGCTATATAGCCTCAAATACGTGCTATTTTATAGTATATTCGTTCTATTTACAGTTTCATGCCTAAAGTCAAACATTTGTTTGCAGATATTTATATATCAGCTAAATTGCTATTGAAAATAATTGGATCAAGTAAAATATTTTGTTAAACAATAAAATGTGGGGGGGGGGGGAAAGAAACAGAAAGCAACTGTAGATACCAGAGATCGTGTGGGAAGAGGGTGGGAAATTGTAGAAGATGAGAAATGGGAGGGGGGAGGAATATGTATACATATGGAACAAGAAATGGAAAATTATTTGTTGATGATAACATGTATGAATAAGCCACTATACAGTGTATTCTGGATGGGAAATTGCATTTTGTATGCTGTGATGATGTTCAGTGAATGAATGTAAAATAAGTTAATTAATTTTAAAAATCCCAAGAGAAGAGAGAGTTGGAAGAGAAGGGAATTGCAATATAACCACCCTCACCCCTTCCCCCGGGGAGTGCTTTCTCACTTTCCCTCTCTCTATCTCTCTCCAGCAAGTGCAGGCACCATTTGACAAAAATTTGTAAAGGTTTATCTTGTTTATTACAACCACAAATATTAAGACACGATTGTTTCATAAAATTTGTTTATAATTCATATTACAAATGTAGAAAGAATTCACAATATCGTATTATCCACAGTTTTTAATAAACCATTCATGAGTATGGTTTATTCTTAACCACAATGTAAACATTTTAGAGTATTTCCTTAACAGTATTTTCTATATTGGTAACTATTACTATAATAAAGTAGTTGTGTATACTGCTTTTTAGAAATTTCCTCTGGAGAGGCAAGACGTTTGTGGGACAGAGAAATGATTTCTTTTCTGTCGATGATAACATGTATAGTATCCTCAACTGGACTGGTGTGAAGTATATTTCATCTTGGGTGAATTCACTTTATAAGCTAAGTGGAGTATAGTGATTAAATGTATAAAATAAATTTTTTTTAAAGAAAAAACATTTCCTCACATTTTTACTCTTCATAAAGTGTCTTCTAACATCATTGAGAGTACATCTGCCTGTTTTTTTCTTATTTCATCTGTAACGGTGGCATTTCTAAACTGTTGGATCACAGAACCAAGAATTACATGTCCTTTCATTCTTTTGTAGTAGAGTGCATGAACCCGTTCATGACCAACTATAGAGTACTGAGAAGCTCACATCCTAGAGACAGAGACTCTGCCTTTGTTTGTTTTAGCAGCAGCTCTGCTTTCATTCACTCTTGGCTCTACTACCAAGTACATATTTACATTTACATATTTACATTTTAAATAGCTTTGTAACACCTTATGTCAATAGATGTCAGGCACAGATGAGCCTTCATAAGTGTGTATTTGACTAGTTTGTAAAATCCAATCTATAGTTAGAGATCATCTGCATGAAATACACAGTTAAATAATATGTAGTTTGGCCTTTTAGTTTTAAAGCTTCCTTCATTCCTACAAATAAGCCAAAGTAAAAAATAAAGATTATTAATAGTCCTGAGAAGTATTAGTATCACACTCGCCTCTTGGGTCCAAACTTCTATTGGGAGTTAAATAAATGTTCAGATGATCAGACCCTGGGGTTTAGAATACAAGTTGTATGCTCCTGGGCTGATAATTTCTCTGAAGCAGAAGGATAACATGTGTAGATCCCATGTTTTTTTGAAAAACTATAATACTTTGTGGCAAGATCATCAATGAAAGACAAAGTAAAGACCAACTATGGGTAAGAGCAAACTGACATGTTTTCTTTGGTTTTGACAGTGAGAGTGGTATTAAGTACACAGACAGAGTGAAGAGCGGGGTCACTGGGGAGCAGATCTGGCTACAAATCAATGAGCCTACTCCAAACGACAAAGGGAAGTACGTGATGGAGCTCTTTGATGGCAAAACTGGACACCGGAAGACAGTGGATCTTTCTGGACAAGGTAAATGGATAATCTTCAGATTCAAGTTTACTATAGAGAAGTGGATCTTTAAAATAAAGTATTGCATTTGACCATTGAAATCTGATTGATTGGTAATGTCAAAGAATAAAATTTTAACAAATTAAGTTTAAAGAGCGAATTGGCTTTTGTTGGTGATTCATGAGTCAGACAGCACTCCATTTATGAAACTGAAAGGTACTCCACTGGTGTGGCAAAACAGTCAGTTTTCATAAGGTAGGTTGAGTAGGAACAAAAAAATACCGTTCAGTAGAAAGCAGATTGGTTAGTTTCAGGTTACTTTCCTTACAGTGGTAAAGCAGGGGAGACTTCCTTATCATGCTGGCTCAGGCTGACTGGGTCCCTTCCATTTGGTTGCTGTGAATGTCCTGGTTTTCTGTCTGTTTGTTTGTTTTTAACAAAACTGGTTATTTAGTTCAGTTTTTTTTTTTTTTTTTTTAGGGGTTTTTTCTTGCATGCACTCGTCAGACAGACAGAGAGAGACAGAGAGACAGAAAGTGAGAAATCACCCCCCAGGGGGGATGGCCACGCCACAATCCCTTCTCCTCCATTCTCCTCTCGAGATCTTGGGCACGCACGCACACGCCCCTGGTGTGAGTTTTAAGCCACCAGGTCTGGGACGCAAACCGCGGTCGACTATGTGGGAGTCCAGTGACATAGCCATTACGCTAACTGCTGGTCCCCTTAGTTCAGTTTTTTTACATAGCACCTAGCTCAAGTGACTCCATTTTGGTTTGGTCTGATAGGGCCTAGTGCAGTAACTCAATCCAAAACAATGGCCTTGCATGGATTTCATTTAACAGTGACTTTCATAAAGCAGTTTTAATTCAGCCATGGTAGTGGAAGCAAGAACTCAGTAGGCAAAGAATTGGCAAGAAGTAAAATAGAGGCAGTAAACCTAGAGAGCACTGCTCTTTCAGCAAGATGCTTATAAAGAAGACAGGTTGACTTACAATCCTTTGCTTAAAAAGGATAGTTTTGTGGCAGTTGAAATGTGAGCATGTTCATACGGTCTGAAACACCAGTGTCTTTGGAAGAACTGAAGATGTGAGTGAAGGAGAATAATTGATGTGTCAAAGTTCTGAAGAATGGAAGGTTTGAAATGAAGGCAAAGGTGAAAGTGTTGGCTTTGAAAGGAGTAGGTATACCTCTTCTTCCAAAAGTAGAGGGGAATGAATGTGAATAAGCAAAGACAAAAATTGAGGAGAACAGGAAGAAGTTGGAGAGGTTGGATCCTTGAGGCCTCAGATTTCTTAGTCATCTTGCTCAGAAATTGTAATGTGGCAGGGGTGTCTGGAGAGAATAGGAAAGACATGAGAAAGCAATGAACAATGCAAAAAGATTTACATCTATAAACAAAGACAAAAAATGATGCACAAGTATTCATTCATTTTTTTAAACAAGAAGATGCACAATTATAAATAAAAAGTTCAAAACGGTGCCATTTCTCCCTCTCCCAGTACTATACTCTTCATCCTATTCTTTCTTACATAAATAAAATAGTTAGACCAGCTCATAGCCTGGTGGCTAAGACAGCCATATTCCTCACGGCCAACCACACAGTTTGAGTCCCAAACCCAGCAACTTAAAAAACACACCAGGCGTGTGTGTGTGCCCAACATTTCAAGAGGAGGGAGTAATGGAGGAGAAGGGATTGTGGTGTGATTGTTACCCATGGGAGGTGCTTGCTCCCTCTCCCTGTCCTCTCTCTCTCTCTCTCTCTCTCTCCATTTTTCTCTGTTGAGCGTATGTGCCCGCTAGCCTAAAAAAAGAAAAAAGAGAGAGAAAATAGTCTATGCTAAAGTAACTAAAAGAAGTTGTGGATTGACTTTTCCTTCCACTTTTTTTTTTTTTGGAGAGGTTTTTGCTATAGGGCACCTGCGCTCACCAGAAAGACAAAGAGAGACAGACAGAAAGCAAGAAATCTCCCCCAGGGAGGATGGCCACACTGCAATCCCTTCTCCTCCATTCTCCTCTCTGGATCTTGGGTATGCACACACACGCACCTGGCATGAGTTTAAGCCACCAGGTCTGGGACTCAAACCATGGTCGACTACATGGAAGTCCAGCTATATAGCCATTATGCCAACTGCTGGTCACCCTTTTTTTTTTTTTTTTGAGCACTTTTTTATTATTAATATGAAATATAAGTCTGCAGTAACTCTTAGGGTTTTGGGGTTTTTTTTTTTTCTCTTTCTGAGAATAGGTTATAATTTAAAGAATAGTCTTTCAGCTCCATGGAAATTTTTCTTGTGTGTGCTGAATCCACACACCCATCCACCCATTATGACTGAAAAGATTCACTAAAGGATCTAAAGCAAATGGGAGCACCTGCTCCTGAGGGACACGGGCTTTCTGGGCCACACTTTGCCAGCATCACACACACACAGTGATAGGGATTTCTCCCACAGTCCATCTGACAGTCTGAAACACAGTAGACAAAGGGAAGCAATAAGTGGATGAGTTAATTTAAAATGTTTTGCTCTCTGGCCCACCATACCTTAACTACCCAACTCTCAAATCCCCCTGGAGCAAAAGGCTGTGTGTTATCTTACCAGGATCACCATGGCCACCAAACATAAGCTGGCTCCACTTTGCACCCCCCCACCTTCGTGTGGTGTGGGGAGACACAGAATATTGATCTCTCAGCCTAATTTAGCCTAACTTATCTCCTCCCTCAGTTTATAGATGAGGGGAAAAAGGACTGTCAACTTTAAGCATGAGTTTATACTTATTTTCCTGTCTGTAAATGAGAGGAGTGGTACTAGACCAGTATCATCTAGGTTTTCTCTAGACTTAAAATACTGGGGCATCGGGAGACTCATGACATATTTTTCTGTAAAAATACAGAAAATATGTCATGACTTTCCCAACACCTGATATTATGATTTCTAGATCACATTGGAACTTAAAGATAAGGCAAGAAAGGACCAGCAGTTAGCATAATGACTATGTCGCTGGACTCCCACGTAGTCAACCGCGGTTCGAGTCCTGGACCTGGTGGCTTAAAACTTACACCGGGCACATGTGCGTGCGTGCCTAAGATCCCGAGAGGAGAATGGAGGAGAAGGGATTGCGGCATGACCATTCCCCCTGGGGGGTGATTTGTCGCTTTCTGTCTCTCTGTCTCTCTCTGTCTGGTGAGCGCACGCGCCCTATAGCAAAAACCTCTCCAAAAAGAAAAAAAAAAAAAAGATAAGGCAAGAATGAGTTTCAAAATAAGCTGCCTAATTTTAGCCGAAAGTCTTCAAGCAAAGTGGCTTACTCTGCAGGCATAGAAGAAAAAAAAGAAAATTTAGAACCAAATAGTTCTCATTTCCTTGTCTTGTCTTTCATCTCATCGTCATCAAGCCATAAGAAACACTGCTTCAGGCAAGCACAGGCGTGCACTCTGGGACAGAAACTCATTGTGCTCTTTCACCCAAATAGTAGATCAGACAGCACAGCATAAAGACATTTAACTGTCTAGCTGGCAGGCTGGGATGTCTGGGATAATTTAATAAGGGGAAGCTTTTTTGATGCTCAGGATGCTTATTAGACAAATAAGTTTTATTTGAAACAGAATTTTATCCTCCTCCCTTTTTATTTTGTGGAGCTAATCTTTGTCTTGCGTTTAGAAGGTCTCTTGCTGAGTTGAAAGCTTCTAAATGCACGATTTCATATTTTCTGCCTTGAGAGTATTTGCTTGTCTTGTTTTGTACATTAAGCTGGAGCGTAAACACCTGGCTGTCTTATTAAAAGTTGAGTTAGTCATGTCAGGGCTGATCACAATAACTTTGCATTGTGAATTTCAATCTGCCCCTGTTGTCTTCAGTTCTGGGTGAGACGATACTAACTTTTCTGTTTTCTCTTAAAGCATATGATGAAGCCTTTGCTGAATTCCAGAGATTAAAGTAAGTCCTTTTCTCTAGCAAATGCCATTTTCATGCACTAGTTTTCCTGGAACCTGGTATATAGCTCACTCATCTGAGTGCTGCTAGGAAGAGCTTTTATTTAAGCAAGTACAATAAAAGCAGCACTTCCCACTGTTCCATTGAGTAGCAAAATGTTTCTGGGGCAATGAAATGAAGTCAAGGTTGGCTACTTTAAAGTGACACTAAGACAAAATTCTTCTTTGTTTGTTTGTGTGTTTGTTTCTCTCAACCACAGACAAGCTGCCATTGCTGAAAAAAGTAAGTAAATCACCTTCACATTTTCTCCTTTATTCCACATTTGTAGATTCCAAATATAATTTTATTTTGTTGTTATGACTACTAATGGTAGAGAATGAATTTTTTTTTCTTTTCTTTTAAATTCTGAAATGTTCTACATATGTTTTCATTTTAGTCTTTAGAGTAAGAATATCTATGGAAAGAATGTCTCAGGTTACATAAGAATGTCACTGAGCTCTTGCCTCAAACTATCACGCAGACATTTTGAGAAATCTCTTGGCTGCAAATCAAAGAACAGGTCGTTAATCACTTGCAGCCACAGTATATCAGAGGAAAAAAAAAATATATGTGTGTGTGTGTATGTGTGTGTGTATAGGGAGTCTTCAGAAAGTTCATGAAAAATCAGCATTATAAAAAACTAGGCATGGATTTCAAAATTTGGGACAGAAAAATAAACTTGTACCTTTAATTCTATCTTTCCATAAACTTTTGGAAGTACCCTCATACATTTAAAATAAAAAGAAGAAGAAGAAGAAAAAGGAGGGACCAGCAGTTAGCGTAATGGCTATGTCGCTGGACTCCCACGTAGTTGACCGCGGTTCGCGTCCTGGACCTGGTGGCTTAAAACTCACACCGGGCACGTGTGCATGCGTGCCCAAGATCCCGAGAGGAGAATGGAGGAGAAGGGATTGTGGTGTGGCCATACCCCCTGGGGGGTGATTTCTCGCTTTCTGTCTCTCTGTCTCTGTCTGTCTGGCGAGCACATGCACCCTATAGCAAAAACCTCTCCAAAAAAAAAAGAAGAAGAAAAAGAAAAAGAAAAATTGGCTCAGTCTAGGTGGTGCATGCTGGACTTTGCTGCGGGAAGTCATACGGCCAGCTGTAGGTTCAAATCCCTAGGTCAGCCTAAAGACATACCAGATGCATGGCCAAGGCCCTGGCAAGCTGGAGGGCTGGAGAAGGGTGATCTTGCATGATGGTGCTTCTATCTCTCTCGTGCACTTAAACATGCTCTCTATTAGGAATAAAAACTTAAAATAAAGAAAAAAATGTTAAATTTGACATCAGGTAAATCACCGCATCTTGGCCCCAACAAGAAAATACCATGCACTTTTCTGAGAGCCCCATGAGATAAAAGATGCTGACTAAGGCCTTCCTTGCTCGCATTTAACAAGAGCCGTTCTGAGTGAACGAACTCTAGCTGTCAGGTCTATGTACCCAGAGAGAGACTCACTGCGACACTGCTGTCAACGGTATATACCTTCACACGTACAGAGTGGTAGAAATTCTCTAGCACCATACAGATCCCAGGAGTCACTGACTGATCAATCCATCAGGCTGATTCAGTCTCTTTCCCAGTGTGGGAACCAGAATCTAAAAATTGTTATGGGTTACAATTGTAGTTGCTCCCAAGCTGGAGCTGACTGGGAGGAGTGAGGAGTAAAGGCATCCTTCCACCTGCCAGTGGCTCCAGGCCCCCCAGAATGGAGCTTTCACGACTGCCTGCCCCTTTTCTTCTCTCTCCCATTCCCAGCTCCTGCCCTGCATCTGTGAGACTGCAGCTAGGGAGAGAGAGGCAGGCACCAGTACCAGGGCTGTGGCAGCATGGGCGAGGGCATGAGGGCAACAGGGAGCACTTTTTGCCTCATGTTGAATGTGTCCCTCTGCTCCTGGTGCACTGTGCAGAGCCTGTGTCCACAGCAGTTCTCTGCCTCTCTGCCTCTTGAACTCTCTGTGGGCAACAAGCCTGATCCTCTGGTTCGTAAACTCTAAAGAGGTGGAAGAGGCTTTAGAGCTCTTAGAGCTTCGTTTTTAAACTTTATAAGATATGGAGCACTTATACAGTCTTCCACACGAACCCAATACATACAATAGGTAAACGCTGAGTTACACTTAATTGAAGCTGGGATGGGGCCCTGCCTCCCTGACTTAGCTCCCCCTCTGATAGCTTCTCTCAGCCCTCTCAGGAATCTCGCTGATACTGTGGAGCAAGGTTTAGAAACATACTACCGGAAGTCTAAGGCAAACCCCTCCCACACCCCAGTCTACAGATTAGGAAATTGAGGCCGACACAGCGAAGTGGCTTGCCTAAAACTCAGCAAGTCATACGGAGAACTAGATGATGATGGGTCACACTTAAAGCAGTGCCCGCAGTCAGCAGTAGCATGCTGTCATTGTTCACGCCAAGCTTTAGCTTGACTTCACGTAGAAGGAGACTGTAGAAACAAAGATCGAGAGTCATAAGCCAATAAAAATAGGTCTAAAAATGACAAGGTAGAGGCCACAGAGTTAGCTCAGAGAGGACACCTTTGAGTGAATTGCAGAAAGACACCCTTCTCAGTAGCTGGGGCGGTTGGCTGGTACATGGCTTGACCAAGGTTGCCAGCCCTGGATTTCAGCATCCATCCCGGGCCTTATCCCCTCACCTGGGGGCCTTTCTACTCAAGAGACACTGACAGCAGCTATACAGCTCTACCAAGAACTACCAGGACATAAGAAAGACAAGATTTCTAGGGAAGGCCTCAAAAAAAGCCCACATGCACACCAGCCTCCAGATCCCCCTAGCATATAGTCCTTCTGTTATGCAACCTTTTCTCATCATAGAGAAACCCATGAGAGAAGCCAAGCCCAGCTCGAAGGCTGGCCACAGATTTCAGTACTGCCTCCTTGAGCTTAGCCTCACTAAGCCACAGAATAGCCAAGGCTGAAGTAGCTATGAAAACAGCAGAGGAGCTCTTAATATGACAAAGCAGACCTGAGTTGGCATTTTAGGTACAGATACATGTACCTATGCATACACAATATATAAGAGGCAAGGAATTAAAATTCAAAATCACTGGGTCATATTTTTTACTTTGCATATTGAAAACAACACAAAATAGCTGTCAGAACAGGGAAACTAAATTTGAAAATGAATTCCTTGGGTATTTTTGTGAGTGTGATCGCTGACCCTCACCATCGTGACAGTTAACTGGAACTGCCTGTGCTTGCAGATCGTGCCCGGGTATTGGGAGGTCTTCCCGATGTGGTCACCATCCAGGAGGGCAAGGTAAGTCTGGAGATATTAGGGACGGGGACCAGCAGTTAGTGTAATGGCTGTGTTGCTGGACTCCCA